TACCCGCGCCAGTGCCTGGTGTCCGCCCGCGCCCTGCTGTACCCGCGCGCGCGGCTGCGCGTCCTCATGGTGGTGGACGGCAACCGCGCCGAGGACCTCTACATGGTCGACATGTTCCGCGAGGTCTTCGCCGACGAGGACCCCGCCACCTACGTGTGGGACGGCAACTACCACCAGCCCTGGGAACCCGCGGCGGCGGGCGCGGCGGGCGAGGGCGCCTACCGGGAGGTGGAGGCCGAGGATCCCGGGCGGCTGGCGGTGGAGGCGCTGGTGAGGACGCGCAGATGCGTGTGTGTGGCGCAGCGCTGGGGCGGCAAGCGCGAGGTCATGTACACCGCCTTCAAGGCCCTGGGCGACTCGGTGGACTACGTGCAGGTGCGTGGAAGGCGCCCCCACCCCCATCCGTCACCCTGGCACCCCGAATCCCACCTCCCTGGGGTCCTTCATTCAATCTAAAGTTGGAATGACACCCTCCCTTTATTCATTCATCCATTCAGTGGAGAGATTTCTTCCTTCTTTCCTTCCTTTCTTCATTCATTCATCCGTTTGATGCAGAGACTCTTTCCTTAACTCACGCATTCATTCATCCCTCCAGCTTTTCAATATAAAGTTTCATTCATCCATTCAGTATAGAATTTCCCCCTTCCTTCCCTTTCTTCTTTCAGTGTAGTCTTTTCTTTACTCATTCATTCATCTATTCATCCAATATAGAGATCATCCATTTATTTATTCATTTATTCAATGTAGATTCAATGAGATCCTTTCCTCATCCAGTGTAGAAATTCTTTCCTTCACTCATTCATATATGCATTCATTTATCCATCCAATATGGTGATCATTCATTCATTTATTCATTCACGTATTCATTAAATGTAGAGACTGGGTCCTTCTTTTCCTTCGTTTCTTCCTTCACCCTGTCAGAGTCTCTTGTTCATTTATTTGTCCATTTACCTATCTATTCATTATAGAGATTCATTTGTTCATTTAGTCATTTGTTCATCCACTCAATGTAGAGATTCATTCATTAATGCATTGCATTAGTTTCCTATTGCTGCATAACAAATTGCCACACATTTGGCAGCTTGAAACAAAACATGTTTATTATCTCATAGTTTCCGTGGTCCAGAAGTCTGGGCAAAGCTTAACTGGATTCTCTGTTCAGGGTGTCATTAGGCTGTAGTCATGATGTCAGCTGTAGCTGGGTCTTATCTAAGGCTCAGGGGCCTCTTCCAAGCTCATGTGTTTGTTGGCAGACTTTGTTTTTTTGCAGTCATAGAATTCATGGTAGCTTGCCTCTTATAGACCAGCAAGAGAAAGTCTCTGATTTCTAGACCTTCTTTTAAAGGGCTCACCTGATTAGATCAGGCCCACCCAGGATAACCTCCCTTTGATTAACTTAAAGCCAACAGATTAGAGACCTTAATTATATTGCAAAACTCCTTCACCATTTCCATAGAAGGTAATATAATCATGGGAGTTATATGTCACCACTTTTGCCATATTCTGTTGGTTAGAAGCAAGTTGCAGATCTTGCCCATCCAACAGAGGAGGGTATTATACAAGAGCATGGGTGTTAGGGGGGAGGGGTGTCATCTTAAAATGTGACTAGACATTAAAAATGACTAAAAAATTCAAAGTTATGTTCAGACTGGCTGCAGAGTGTCCCAGCTGCTCCCCATCCCTCGGTACCCTCCCTTCAGTTACCAGCCCTGCACAAGGATATGGCCTGATCCTGGCCTCTTCTATCTGACAGGTCTGTGACTCAGACACGAGGCTGGACCCCATGGCACTGCTGGAGCTGGTGCGGGTTCTGGACGAGGACCCGCGGGTAGGGGCTGTAGGGGGTGATGTGCGGATCCTTAACCCTCTGGACTCCTGGGTCAGCTTCCTGAGCAGCCTGCGGTACTGGGTGGCCTTCAACGTGGAGCGGGCTTGTCAGAGCTACTTCCACTGTGTGTCCTGCATCAGTGGTCCCCTGGGTGAGCAGGGCTTGGGAGGGCAATGGATGGGGTGGAAAGGAAGGGAGAAGGGGACCCAGAATGGGTTGAAGATGGGATTGAGACTGGGGACAGAGATGGGGCTGGGGCAGGACTTGGGAAGAGGGATAAGACTGGAAGCTGGAGGTGGGGATGGTGTCTGGTGTTGGGGATGGGTTGGAGAAAGGGTATGGATGGGGATTGGGACTGGGGTGGGGGAGGGTTTGGGGAAGGGGATGACATGGGTTTGGAGTCAAGGACAGTGTTGGTGCTAGGTTTGGGGGTGGGGATGGATTTTTAGATGAGGATGTGTAGGGGGTGGGGCTGAGAATGGATTGAGATTGGGGCATTCAAAGTGAGTGTGCGTCAGTGACAGGACTGGACAGTTTGGGATGGGTGTGGAGTTGAGGAAGGATTTGAGGTTGTGAACAGGATTGGGGCTGGAATTGTCATCGGAGAGAGGGCTGAGAATAGGACTGAGATGGTTAAGGATGGGGTTGGAATTGGAGATGAGCGGGGTTGGAGAGAGGACTGGGGAGGGTTGAGGTAGGATTGGGGACACTATTGGCAAAAGCAGAGGCTGATGCTCCTGTACATCCCCTCCCCACCCTAGGTCTATATAGGAACAACCTCCTGCAGCAGTTCCTTGAGGCCTGGTACAACCAGAAGTTCCTAGGCACCCACTGCACCTTTGGGGATGACCGTCATCTCACCAACCGCATGCTCAGCATGGGCTATGCCACCAAGTAAGCTGAAGGGACTGAGTGGCTGGGTGTGTGCAGAGGCCAATGAGTATCCCAGCAAATCTGTGTGTGTGTGTGTGTGTGTTTGGAATTCTCCAAACCTGAAGTAAATTATAGGACAGTGGGTTCCATCAAGTGAGACTTTAGAGGAGACAGAAAGAAACCATCAGGAACAGAGAGGGAGCATTAGCACTGAATCAGTGAGCTATACCATGTGAGACCTTAAGGAAGAGTGGAAGATATCATAGGGGCGGGGTGATATTTGCATCGACCCATGTGACACAGTGGACTCTACCAAGTAGGGCAACGTGAGGGTGGGAACTACAGCTAGAAGACACAACATGAGGTGGGGCTTGATGGCTTTACCAGGGAGAGCATGAATTACTCCAAGTGAGAGGGGAAGAGAAAGAGATAGAGTGGGATCTAACTAGTGAGAGAGTGAGTGAGAAGAATCAAGCAGGAGAGATGGGGAACATCTAAGCTCCAGTAAAGGGCTTCAGGAGGAAAAGATATAATTCAATGGGACTCAGGGGAGTATGGGCTAGAGCAGGTGAAGTTCAGGGGAAAGTGATTTCTATAAAGTTATACCCAGTGAAAGCACCAAAGTGAACTTGGGGTCTACCAAGGAAGCCCACGCATTCATTCACTTGACAGGTGTTCTTTAAGTGCCTGCAATGTTTTAGGCTCGGGATGCAGAAGCAAATAAAAGAGATGTAAATTCAAGCCTACATTGATGGAGGGGCAATAAATTAAGATATGTAAGTAGAACATATAGTATTTAGGTAATGATACCTGCTATGGAGATAAATAAAGCCAGGGAAGGGGGATAGGCAGTTTCCAGGGAGGGAGTGAAGTGTGAAATTAAGGTGCCTGAGGTAAGAGAGGGATGGAAGCTGAAAATAGTGCAGGTGGAGCAATAATGGGAGAGAGGATGGAGAATTAATCGGGGGGGTCCACGCATGATAGGCTTGTGGGCTGCAGAAAGAACTGTGAACTAAGATGAGGGAGCCATGGGGGGGGGAGGTTTGAGCAGAGGGGTGGCATGTTGCTTTAACAGGATCCTTCCCAGCTGTTTTGAGTACAGACTGCAGGGAGGAAGAGGGTTAGCAGGGAGGTCACTGAGGATGCCAAGTGACATAGGGGAAGAAGAATAGACAGTGTCAAGTAATGCCCGTGGGGATAGAACAGTTTGACCCTTCCAAAGACACTGACTGCCAGAGGCCAGCTGATGACGTTCCATACAGGGATTCTAGCTTTGTGTGGACTTGGCTAAGAACCTGGGAGGGATTGATTAGTAATGTCTGCCAGGGCCACAGGAAAGGAGCTTAATGGTTCCCTTGAGAAACTCTAACACAGGGGCTACCCTAGGTAGGAAACATGCCTGGCGTGTCCCTCACCATGGGGCCTGCTAATAACAGATTCCTAATAGATTAGTGATAGTATTAGTAATAGTGTCAGTCACCACAATGATATTAGTAATGCCAATAGTTGCATTAGTCATAGTAGTAGCTACCTCAAGTAGCAATTACTATATGCTGGTTCTAAGCACTTGGCATTTAATCCTCATTCAATTATGACCTATTAGGTAGGAACCATTATTTACCCCATTTTACATATGAGAATGAGATAGGCTGGGACTTGGGACCCTTTACCCAGTGCTTGCACCTAGGCAAGCATCTCCTCCAGCAACAGAATACAAAGAAACTGTAAGGAACGAAAAATAAGTGCACGCATGCGCAGCTGGGGCAAATGAGGAACAAGAAGATACAAAAGAGCCAAACCAGGGAGTGGGTAGAGCTCAGTGGTAGAGCCCATGCTTATCATGCATGAGGTCATGGGTTCAATCCCCAGTACCTCCATTTTAAAAAAGCCCCAAACTCAACTGCGACGTCGAGGGGAGCAAAGACAGGGCACTAAGCATGATCCCTGTGCACAGCTCTACAACGGGGGCGTGCAGCCCACCTAAGCCACCGCTCCCTCACTGCCCTGACCCACTGAATGGCCCCCACCGTCACCCCATTTAAGGGGCCCGCTGGCTCCCTCCCTGGGGGGTGGGGAAGTGAAGCTGTCACTTGTGTTTGCCCCCACCTGCTGCAGCAGCAGGAGTCCCAGTAAAGCCTTGCCTGAATTCCTCCTCTGGCCTCTTTCTCTGGATTACACAGCCCAAGGACCCCATTTGTTATGCAGAACCCTGAGGCCCAGACAGGTTGCGAAAACTCGCCCCAGGGGCCATTCCTGCCTGCGATTCCTGCTGACGGCCGTGTCTCCTCCCACCCGCCCAGGTACACGTCGCGGTCCCGCTGCTACTCGGAGACGCCGTCATCCTTCCTGCGCTGGCTGAGCCAGCAGACGCGCTGGTCCAAGTCGTACTTCCGCGAGTGGCTGTACAACGCGCTGTGGTGGCACCGGCACCATGCGTGGATGACCTACGAGGCGGTGGTCTCGGGCCTCTTCCCCTTCTTCGTGGCGGCCACGGTGCTGCGGCTCTTCTACGCCGGCCGCCCGTGGGCGCTGCTCTGGGT